TTAGGGAATGAGTTCACTTCGCAATGAATGCATCCCTCCGTTCGTCATCGCGGCTACTACTTTATGGGTGGCCTTTTGAAGACCAGCGGGGCTTAAAGGAGAGGAAATAAACATACGACCCGATTCGATGTGCAGGCTTTCTCTAAACGGAAAATCGTCTGCTCGGCAGGGGATTTTCCAGAAAAACTGAATAACTTCCAAATAAAAGCAACTTTTGCAAAAGCTCCAGTTACGTTTTCATTGGGTATACTTGATTTGGCGACAGGAATCCTTCAGAGGTAGTACAGCATGTTCAGAGTTGTGGGATTCTTTTGAAATCGTAAGTAGATCCATCTCACAAATTGACCCTACACTGCCACTTCCACAAAAGGATGCTAGCCAGTCACCCAGGTTGTTAGGCTACTGTTTACTAAGCTGTCTCGTGTGGATAGCTAGAGCATGATAAAGCATCCTTGCGCTACGTTCTCAAGATTGGAGGCCTGGAAGCCCCAAGTGTCACCGCCAGCTTACTTGTAATTCGGAGATACCCACCCGTGTTGGTATTGGTAGATCTGGGCAGGTTCATAGCCGCCTGGATCTAGTAGCCCTTTCAGCCTTCTCGAGGTCGATTTACTGATTTTGGTTTTAAATGTGAGAATAGTAAAATCATTCATTTGTTCATAGAATGGCCCACGATGTCATGGGCATCTTGCAGCTCGAAGTTTGATGAGCCCCGGAAGCCTCAGCCCACCCGTTTTTTGTTCAATTTCAACCCACCATACAACGCTTTTTGAAGAAAAGATTCCTGTGACTCATCGATTGCCTTCGATGCGGATCAAATCTGAACATTCCAAAAGAATGGTGGTGGAATCTGCCGACTAAGTTGTCAGCTTTGCTGGAATTCCAGCTGACTGGGATTCCCACGAGGCATAGTTCAGGATTTTCTCAACAGGTCTACCCTATTGTTGATTAGAGCTCTTTTTCTACCACAGTGTTAAACATGTGTTTGAAATATGGTCCGTAATTTTGTAATCAAATTATTAATAATAGCGCTTGACATCCTGCTATTCTGTTCCAATAAATGTAACGACTTCGTTAGTGCCCTTTCTCAGAGACGATTCCCAGAAACTTCGATGCTCTTTGAAATAGTTGACGCTTAGCTTGAATAAACAACTAGGCAAAAGGTCATTCCGCGTNTACTACAGTGTTAAACATGTGTTTGAAATATGGTCCGTAATTTTGTAATCAAATTATTAATAATAGCGCTTGACATCCTGCTATTCTGTTCCAATATATGTTAACGACTTCGTCAGTGCCCTTTCTCAGAAACGATTCCCAGAAACTTCGATGCTCTTTGAAATAGTTGACGCTTAGCTTGAATAAACAACTAGGCAAAAGGTCATTCCGCGTCTTCTGGGCAAGAGTTCCTAGACCTATTCCCGGATATAAAGTGGATTTGAAGCTGTGAAAGAATTCTTTCAGCAGCCTACATGTTCTTTTCTACCTATGGCCCACTCCAATCCAGGATCTAGGGATTACTTCAACGGGAAGCCCAGCCTCAGTTGCTGCCGATGTTGTTAGATGTGTTGATTGGTCTCTCGTCTCTACAACCCCTTCGTTGCGTAGGGCAGGTTGTAGAGTCGTCCCAATCAACACATCTGACAACATTTGGGAACAATCTATTTTGTTGAGATTGAATGCTGTTGTTCTCTCCTCTCCTGTTCCCTCTAAACGCTTCCTTTTCACGAAGATCTCGTATAATTCTTCTGGGGATTCATCGTTCTCGAGGTTAGTCTCTGGGTTCTAGCCACAAGTCTTTCGGCTCTGACCAATCCCTTTGTGGCATGCGCCCCGCAATCGACTTCTATCCGAATTGGGCGAAGTGGACAGCTGATACATTTGCCAGTTTCTTCATACTCCCAGGCAAATCTGGTACCAATTGATCAGCCCCGAAGGGATGGAGTACTTGATTGGTCTAGGCCACCACTTTCCACTACTTACCTCTACCCCTGGAAGAGTATAATTACGATAAATACTTTCATAATTTCAAAAAGGGAGCATTTCCATCAAAAATGGTTGCCAGGGGGGATTTTATCATTCCAGGCCAATTCATTCCGGATCTTTCCTTCACATGGTTCACTTCCCAACCAGTTATACTTGATTTCGCTTTACAGTTCTTTACCAATGGAGAAAAACGCTAAAGCCAATTTCCGGCTACTGAATGCAAAAGCGTCAAACCATTGGCTCTGAAAAAGTGGCTACTCATTATGCCCTAGTCATCCACCTATACTGTTTGAAAAGCATAATTGAGATTGCTCGTCGCATTTATTGGCAGGTAGCATCATAAAAAACGAATGTAGCGAATATAGTCTATATATAATTAATGATGTAAAATATAGCGAGTTCCCATGCCCCCCTTCCCAAGAAAAGGTCGATATAGTTGTATTGGGACCAGGAGATAGCTTCGACAAACCCAGGAACATCTATCGTTGCCATATTTTTCGTAGTAAATCATTATAATACCCAGTGATATCATAAAATAATACTCAATAACGTCATCCACTATTATCCGATAAACATCCAATAATGGCAAGCATAACATCTCTTTGTTGGAGGCAATACAATGTTAGTGATGAGCTTAGACGAATCCTCAGTCTCCAAGTTTGTGGAAGGAAGGTTGCGCTATCGAGATAAGCACTTATTGTAGGCCCAAAATGACCCTATTCCCGTCAATTCCCAGAAGCCCGTGTCGTCTAGGACGCTACGATGTCCCAAACCCAAGCTTTTTATGAACGTGTTACCCTAAAATTGCTCACGTTCTTTGACGTTTCATTGGATGCTGGTTGAACTTTCTGTGACCTTCCCTTGATGAGGCTGGCTTCGATATTTGCGATATTTCCTCAAACACACCCGATATAGGGCCACAGAACGCAGCAGACCAACCAATTGGGTATGGCCAAGTTCAAGAAGGGAAAAGGAAGGGTAAAAAAGGAGGGAAAGGAGGCATAAGAAATAGGAGCGGAGAATCATCATACGAAAGGAATGAGCGAAGCAAACAGGCATTATGCAGGGGTGCTCAATGGAATTATGATTAGGGCCTCGCATGTGGGCACAAGATGGTAGCTTTCCCTAGTCAAAAGGAGGGAGGGAAAACCATCACGAGTTCCTGGTCCCACCACAATTACGATTTTTCATATTTTTCATCTAATTTTTTATTTGCACCTCATCGGGCATTGTTAGAGTTGACAGAGCCCATCCGGAAAGTTGAAATTTTTAACTGTCGAGGTGAAAAATTTCCCGCGGCTTTAAGTAGTGTCGTACTGCATTAGAGGGGCATAGAATGTCGGGATCACGTATGTCAAGCTCTCAGTGAGATCCGCTCCCAACCCTCACCCAGTCTTCTTCTCAGCTTCCCAAATCCCACTCTACCGATTATCTGATTCTTGTGGCATCCCTGCTCTGCAGACTGTAACAAAGTTAACGATTAAGTTGGCTTGCTTTTTCCTTAATCAGCTCCACCGAGGAATGTGTTTATGTTGGCCTGACGAAGTTTATGTCAGTTAGTAGAAACACAACATTGAAAAGGGCGTTTTTAGCTGAGGGGGGCTTAGAAATGTCTTTGGCTTCGTTTACTTACTTCTATGCGTCTTTGTATCAACAGCCCCCAAGTCACTGGCAGAATTTCCCAAATGGGAAGTGTTGATCTTTTCCTCCGACGACGGCCAAAAATGACATGTGCGTGTGTGATGACGTTAGCAACATCTACTGACTTATTCCTATCCAGTGGAACCTTTACGGAGACCAGGAATATGAAATAAATCTGAGCATTTATATAGTTGCACAGCTCGTTCCGGGATTCATAGATCAGGTCGGGGATCTCTGAATACAACTAAATTCAAGGGCGTCAACGCGCCTGGAAGTCTGGTAGTCAGTGATGAACCTTTCAAAAAGAAAAGTTCATCTTCAAAGTGAATGCTTTAATTTGGGAATTTTCCACTTTCATCAGCTTCTCCATTTCTGAAAAACTTCAAAAGCGACTCTTATTGATGCAAAGTAGTCATTTTCCGGAGCCAGGAAAATTTCTGAAACGAGCATTTTGGGATAGTTTGCCATGAGGATCGAGAAACATTCCAATTTTTTTTTCGAAGTTCGGACAAGAGTAACTCATTTGAAGAGTTGTCACCGCCTGCCCGTTCACAAGACGTCACTAAAACAATACATATGAAATTCGATGGCCACCAAAAGGCAATGTCGTTGCGCCCTTCAATCTTCTTTTCCAAGGCTTTTCTAAGAGTACATAAGGGAAAAAAGTGACGTAAATTTTAAGAATAACAATTTCCGTGGGCGTTTTCTACGTCACGCACAAACTGTTCACTTTTACCCACGGGAATCAATACCATTTTAGGAAAAAACCCAGTCACGCCTAGTAGGCAGGCCAGAGAAGCCATTTTCGGCGCTGATTTTATGCCAGTCCCTTCTTACCTAATGGATGACCTTGTTTTTGCTGCTGCATCGGTGATGCTGGCCAAAACACCAGACGGCCTGATTTCGTGGCGAATTTGGGACCACTGAAAATCGGCTCCTGGTCGAGGATGTGGTTAGCCGAGCTAAAATCTGAAATGGGCCGGGATCAGTTCTGGAGAAGCTAAATGGGTCTTCAAAAAAGCGATTGGAAGAAGGCCGCGGTCATTCACTCGGTCGCTGGGAAAAGAGATAAAGACCCCCGAGCAGAGAATTTTCCAAAACCGGCAGCGGAACGGAATTTAATCCAAAGTGTCTTTGTAAAAATTGAAAAAGTCGAATGTGCAGCTCATCTTGAGAACAGTGATCAATCCCGAGTGGGCCTCTTCTTCCCGGAGCATTTTTTAAGGATTTCGAAAACTTTGCCTTCCCAGAGTGAGTTTCGTGTGTTGGCATTAGGAAATGACGAAAAAGAACTAGGATAAAACGAATGCATCCCGCCTTAGAAAACCTCCCCAGAAACGGAAGTAGGCTTTTTCAAAATCAGATTCTCGCTGGCGGTCAATTTCCGCCACCACCAAAGCACCCATCACCCCATGGATATTTCTTACTGAGCTCAGTGGGGCGATGACATTCTGGTCCTCGGAAACCAGCTCAAATCAGAACATCTGGGTAAAAATCGTCATTTTCAGATTCTCGCAAACGGCGGAGATCAACAGGAGTTGCTACTATGCCAACTTAGCGAGAGCAGTACGTTGCTCGCTCAGCTCGGCATTCTCGTCTCTGAAGGACTCGATAGGCTCATGCAAAACCAAGGTTGGTTTCGTTTTAGTAGCAGTCTCGTTTTTGATGTTTGGATTCGAGCTTTTTGGCCTTGCAATCTATCTTGGATAAGATGGGAGCGGTATAATGGTAATGGGTGCCATTTCCAGTGCATGATCCATAGACTGAGAACTTCCCATCCCTCCCTCACTGAAGTGGGGAATGATGTCATAGTCAAGTCTTGCATACTCGTCTGGGACCAGAAATATTTATTTCATTATTATTGCTCTCAAGATACACCAGCGTAAAGCTAGGTTCTTCCTGCAAAGGCATAGGGACCTACATCTATTTGGCGGTTCGAGGTAGAGGTAGGAGTCAGCAAGTGCTACGTACAGCTTATCCTAGTGGTCAGTTCCCCCCAGAACTTGTCAGCTACCCAAGAAACTAATGGCTATGGGTTAGGTAAGCCTCAATAGGCGATGAACCCACCAAAATAAAGGACAGGTAATCTCTGCAGTTCATTGTACCCCTCATTAGAAGCTCTGAGCAAGTGGCTCCGAATCTGCGATGGAATCAACCGATTTGGCCTTTTCTTCTGTTCGATCAGGTGTAATGGAAGGGAACGGCCTTCTGAGTCGTAGCTGATCAGAGTAGGCGTCTGCGGGACGTACAGAAAGCTGACGCTTATCAAACAGAACGCATAAATTAAATTGTATAGAATGGCACATTCTATTTGGTTCTGGGATGAATCTAACGTAATTATTCGGACATGCGCGCTAATAAATAAGCTGCCAAGAATTTGATATGATTATGCTTTTTTGAAAAGCCATTCTGCAATGCGTAACGAAGTAAAGCTAGCCGGCTGTACAGCTCAAGATGCACTTATGCTGCAATCTCGGCTGGTGTTGTCATGACCGTTCTCCTTCTAATATCCAGAGATAAAGGATCCTACCTGGTTGTGACGAGGGAACCGACCTGGCCCGTCTAGACCCGACCCTGCCCAATGAATTGACCCTACCCTGCCTATCCAACAAAGAAATTTGCTCTTGAGGTTAGGAGTTTTTTCTGTTTCCCATGTATTGAAACCCATAGCTCTCATAGCATCCTGTTCGGGGTAACCCACAGCTACGAATCAGGTAAGGTAGTGACGTTGGGTTCAGGTAAACAGCAATGAAATATTCCAACCCTCCTACGCAGTTTGCTTAGTCATGAAAAGCAAGCACGGGTAAACGGAACGTGTTGATGGTGATAAACGGCAATGGTTTAGTTGATTACAACGATTTCGTCCACGCCTTATAGTCATTATGCGACTCTATCATAATTTATCATTCTTTACCATACAATATACTCACTACTGCAGTCGGCCACTTTGATCCGGACAATGAAGTGCATTACTGGTCCAACCAGAACTGGTGTGGGTGTTTTTATGCAATAACTTGCAAGTTTCGGACAGTTCTAGTAGTTTTTCCTAGCCGGAGTGGTCTGGGGCAATAACTAGCCCCATAGGGGAGGAGCATGAGATTGGCATTATGGCGGTTCGACCCCATAAAGCACATAAATTTTGAACGACAGCTCTAATTATATACCTTCAGTCTCTATGAAATTATTCAGAATGGAAAGGCAATGTTCAGATATTCTAGGTTTCTGAGAATGAGGGCCTTTGACTTGCATTTGCATATCCACACGGACTAACCAAACCCCCTACTTTGGTGTAGGCGGCAACGCTTGATTTATTTCAAAGGACCTTCGTCGGTCAGAAGTTTAGCAGAAGAATAACCTTGAACTTCTTCAAACCCTGGGCCTCTCATTTCGAAATTCATTCCCTTTCTATCCCGTAAATGAGGACTATAGGGTTTAGGAAAAGGATTTAAAACGAACCATAGCGAAATTATGGATTACTCATGAAAAACATTTTTCCGGAACAAAAACGATACAATTTTCCAAAAAGGAGAGCAGAGAAGGTTACTACACTGCAAGGGAGATACCTCCGTTCCAATTATGCCCAGGAAAACGTGGGCGCTCTTAAATGCAGTTGTCTCTAGCGTTCTTGTGAAAACTTTATGACAACATCTGGGACTTCGAGGACATTTCTCTGAGGAGTTGACAGATTCCATAAGCAATTGTCCACAAGTGTAGCCTGAAGAAGCGTAGAAGTTGCTATGTATTCTGGAGCACATCCTCCTTTGTAAGTGAGGTAGGCTTCGAGTCGAAGTTGCAGCATCACCCAAAAACCCCAATATATTCCAAATAGCACTTCTCCCAATTCTTAAAAAGTAATTTATTGATCCGCTTCCTCTACCCTACAAACGAGCCACAGATTTTTTTAACTGACGGGTGGCTCCATCAAAGTAGAGGGTTCATCAGGCGATGGAACTTGGACGCTCCAGAACAACCACAGGAAGGACCGAGGCCAAAAACTACGGGCTGCTGCTCCCATTGTGCAACACCATCAACTCAAAAGGATGTCCGAATTCTTTGAGCAAACTTCACTGCTGCTGCAAACTGCTTTGCTACTGTCCCATATTTCTTCCAAGGGACAAACCATCCTTTTATACTTCGATCCTCCTGAGAACGGCTCCTTGGTGCAAGGTCCGTCCGGGAGGATAAAATCACTGGCTTATACATTGGCTTGCTCTCGAAAGTCATTACATAGGCCACATATGCATCCATACGCCATTGCGATTCTGAGTGGAATTGTGATGCTGGGGCGCATCCCAAAAGGGGATTTACCAAAGTCAAAAAGCTTCAGGGTCTCCAGGAGTTCCTAGATCAATAGCCTCCGGCAAGCCTCCACAAGCCATTGATTAGGACAAATGGGCCAAATGTCGAAGTTTTATTGTATGCGGGGTAAATGTGTAGCAATCCGTTATCGAGCGCCTTACTTTTGTTTATCTCGAATGACTGGTTGGGGAAGTTTGTGTGAGCACTTCACCTCCTAAGCAACATGTCAAAAAGCTTTTCATCTCTGTTCGCTAACGGAGCCTTCAAGAGAAGGACCGTTGTTGCAACGAGGCAACCAGCTTCATTAGCGAACTTCGGCTGCTTTTCTTCCTTCAGCACCACCAATGACCATTCTCGTTAATGGCATAGTCTAGAAGACAAAACTTATGCAATTAGGAGTTGAAAGCATCGGAAGAACTCGACAAAAGACGAGATTCCTTGTCTTCCGAATTAGTTCTCCCTGGGGTCTTTGAACCCTTCCGAAAGCAAGTACATTCGTAAAAAAGACAACAAATTAGCACCGAAGCACTTGATTAGCAATACTACTCAACAAATTATATTGCCCACTCCTAAAAAGTTTCTTTTAAGGTATTGCTGCCACCGAGGATTTAGATGAGAGCGGTGTCGAGAAGAGGAAACACGAATATTTGCGATTTGGCAAGAGAAAGCACGAGTACCTGCGATTTGGCAAGAGAAAGCACGAATATTTGAGGTAAGTGATGTAGTCCTAACAACTCGTCCACATCCCAATGGCCGGGCACCGATGAACGATCTGTGTCGAATGCCAGGTCCGTGCTTTTCCAATTGAATATTTGATCACTGGGTCTAGAGTTCAGGTGTTGGAAAGGGCTAGCACAAGGCTGAAGAGAGTGTAGTCCTGGTTGATGATTTTTTATGGGCTAAAAATCTAATTTGTAAAAATCTGTCCAAAGTTCAAATATGACCGCTTTGCCAGAAGATTGACATCTATCATAGCTGGAGGCTGGGTCTGGCTCGAACAAGACTCCGGCTAAAGGCCCAGCTATTTGAGGGATTCCGTTTGAACCCTGTCTGAGTGAAAAAATTGAGTATTGGAGGAGGAACGGCCCACTTAAAGATGCCCTTACACCAAACCAAACTCCTTGCCGCTGCTTCTGTCCTGCTTCTAAAAACGTCCCTTCGGGTATTAAAGGTTTATCATACCCTATGTTTGATCTAACCGGGCTGCCCAGAGATTTTTCTTCGACCACAAAATGACTGTTGTTAGAAAGTTGGGTTAGATTCCAATTTTATCGATCCATTAATAGATGAAATTTTCCAGGTTCGGAAAGAGAAAGCACGAATATCTGCGTTTCGGGCG